CTGCGCGGCACACGGGGAGGAGAAAGAGGAGGAGGAGGAGGAGGAGAAGGAGAAGGAGGACCAGTGCAAACCCAAGAATCATCAACGATGTTGGAATAAACCCTCCCTCCGAGCTCCCTTTTCATAGGCACTATGCAACGGTTCAGTTCCACTGAGAGAACTGCATCGTAAGAAGACAACTGTTTGAAGAGCCTGAAACGCGTCAAAACATTATTCTCTGGACTCCAACGTCACGGATCAACCTGACTGTTGCGTCTTGGCGATCCTGAATCTTGCCAGAACGCCATTCCTGGGACTTCAACACCGAAACCAACGTAACTGCTGCACCCTCATAATCCTGAATATGTCCAAACCACCATGACTGGTACGTTGACCATGGGAAAATGAGAAACTCTTGCAATGTGTAAACAGGAATGTGCGCGGCGCTACGGTGAAAACCATTTTTTTAACAGGAACCGCCCTCCCAGTTGTTGTAATATCCGCCGGCCCCCTTGTGGGGCCACCAGGCTGTAGGCCTAAGGTTCGCAGTTTCCTGCACCAGTTGCAGCTTCCAGCTTCCACTGTTACAGTTCTGCTTCTTGCTGCTTACTGTTCTTTATTGACTTCTTGCTGCTTACTGTTTCTTGTTGATGGACCGCGCGAGGGGGGGAGGCCCAAAACGGGCATTTTTACTACGGCCAAAACGTATGCTCTAAATTGCTGGGGTGGGTAAAAATTCACCCCTCACGCAGATCGGCGGGGTCAGGGTCCAAAAACACAAGGGATTTGCCACATTTCTGACATTCGGTGGCACCCCTCACGCAGATCGGCGCGGTCAGGGTCCAAAAACACAAAATTTGCAAAATTTCTGGCATTCGGTGGCACCCCTCATGCAGATCGGCGGGGTCAGGGTCCACAAACACAAAAGGGATTTGCCACATTTCTAACATTCGGTGGCACCACTCACGCAGATCGGCGGGGTCAGGGTCCAAAAACACATGGGATTTGCCACATTTCCGAAATTCGGTGGCACCCCTCACGCATATCGGCGGGGTCAGGGTCCACAAGCATGGGGGATTTGCCGCATTTCTGAAATTCGAGTCCAAAAACACAAAAGGGATTTGCCACATTTCTGAAATCCGGCGGCACCCCTCACGCAGATCGGCAGGGTCAGGGTCCAAAAACACAAGGGATTTGCCACATTTCTGACATTCGGTGGCACCCCTCACGCAGATCGGCGGGGTCAGGGTCCACAAACACAAAAGGGATTTGCCACATTTCTAACATTCGGTGGCACCCCTCACGCAGATCGGCGGGGTCAGGGTCCAAAAACATAAGGGATTTGCCACATGTCTGAAATTCGGTGGCACCCGTGACGCAGATCCGAAACGTCAGGGTCGAAAAACAAACAGGTCCCGACACCGCTTCACGGCGGCGCCCAGACCTCATGATTTAGCTTTTGCATCTCCCAATATCCGAGACACGGGGCCGGCGGCATGGGGCGAAGCCCGTTGTGATAGAAAACGACTCGCAAATAGTTGAGAGGAATGCGCGCGGCGCTAACACGCGAACCACATTTTGAAAACGGCCCGCCTCGATCCGTGAAACTCTTGCAAAATTCTAAAACGATTGCGCGCGGCGCTAAGGCGGGAGCCACATTTAGAAAACGGCCCGCCTTTCATATGTGAAACAGTTGCCAATGTTAAGCGTCAAAATCAAAAATGGTGAGGAAAGCTCGGGCGAAACGCCCGGCCCGCCCTTTCGACCGGCCTCGGGGTACGACAGGGAGGAGCTGTTCATAAGGAAAGGGAATGGATCAGGAGGAAGAGGAGGAGGAGGAGGAGGAGGAGACAGGAGGAGGAGGAGGAGGAGGAGGAGGAGGAGGAGGAGAGAGGAGAGAGGAAAAAGAAGAAGAAGAAGGAGGACAAGGAGATGAAAAAGGAGAGGGAGGAGCAGGAGGATGAGGAGGAGGCTGAAGTGGAAAGACGAAGAGGAGAGAGGCGGAGGCGAAAGAAAAACAAGGAGAAAGAGGAGGAGGGGAGGAGACGGAGGACGAGGAGGAGGCAGTGGAGGCGGCGGGGGAGGTAGGAAGAGGATGTGGAAGAGACCCTTCATATTGACGTCACAGCACCTACGTCTAGCACGTTTTCTCTGTTACGCGACGCAACAGTCCGGGCAAAAAGGAAAGAATGAGGAGGAGGAGGGAAGGGGGGAAGAGAAGGAGACGCAAGCTAGGTGCGCTCGCGCCACATCTCACATCCGATGCCTCCCGCTCATGCCCTTCCCGTTTGGCCGATGTTCCTCAATCCGCCCATGGGTGTTCTAGCGGACCTGGGACTGCAAAGGACCCAATCGTGTGATGCGCAGTCGGGAAGAAGGAAGCTGCGCACGCACATTGGGGGAGGAGGTGGTGGATGAGTAGACGAGGACAAGGACATCCGCAGGAGGGGCTAACGTCAGAGCACCTACACAGGTGGTCTACGCGCTATTGCCAGAATCCCCTTTGGACGCCCGAAATGGGTACCGAAAAAATGGGCACGATGCCCAACAGCAAATGTTGTCCCGAGCCAACAGCGGCCGCTGTTGGGCGGGCGGCCTCCTGTCTCACATGAACACAGGCCGCGGCGGCGTGGGCAGCGAGGCCTGTTCAGAATGAACAGGAACTGCTGTTGGCCATAGTACCCATTCTTTTGGTACCCATTTCGGGCGTCCAGATCCCCTGCGCTTGGTTGTGTTACTCACCAGGGCCGGCAGGAGGCATATCCCGCAGCTCAAGGACCGAGCTCCAGGGTGGCCCCGTAAGACAGGCTCGCTGCCTTACCTCGCGAGTCCCATCGGGTCAATGCGGGGGGGGGCAGCTGCTGGCCCTCCCGCGTGCCCTATGGGGAGGGGACGCGCGGGCCTAGCTGGGCGCCCAGGCCACGGGGGGGGAGGAGACGACGACACGACCTCAAAAGGAGGAGAGAGGGGAGAGACGGAAGGCCCGAGACCCCAAACTGTTGCTGGGGGGGCTCCTCCTACTTCTGCAGTTTGAATTCCGCGCTCCCCTCTTCCACTCAGCTCACTTCTCGGTCGCCCCGAGAGATGCTCCATGTGTTGTCACATCTGTACTCTGGTATCTTGTGACGTAGCCCAGTTTTCTCCTCGGAGCGTGTGAGGTGGAGCATACTGGAAGTCACGGTCACACGTAGGGGCCAATGAGGATCACTCTGGTGGGCATCATGCTGATCACTTTTTCTTCCTCCACACCCTGCAGTTGTGTACCTGATGGTACTCAAAAAAGCTTCCCACTGCGCGATGGCTGTGCAGGCGTACTGATGTGCCCATGTTGTCTGCAATGAGTAGCTTCCGAGAAACCTCGCTAATGCTTCTCCTGACTGCCTGTGGGCACGGCCAACTCACTCCTTGCCTAGATCAACACTCCGAGAAACCTCGCTAATGCTGCCTCTTGGCAATCTGAAGGCTCCACTGGGTGCACTTACGGGTGGCCGCTTGAGCTGGCGGATGAGTAGAAGGAAAAGGAGGAGAGCGAGGATGTGGAAGGAGGGGGATGAGGACGACGGGCAGCAGCAGGAGAACCATGGGAAGGCGGAGGAGGGAAAATGAGGGGAACGACGATGATGAAAAAGGACTCGGGCATAGAAAAATGGCCGGCGCTGGAGCGAGAGCACCATTCTGAACGAAGAGAGCAAAGCGACGATCCGACAAGAAGGCCCACGATGCAGCGTGACCACCATCTTGAAACACCATCGACATTCGGGTCGCTAACAAATGTTCAGTCAGCGCGGACCCAAAACCGCGATGTCTTGCAATATATGCGATGCAACCTAGCTGGTGCAAACATTGTGGTGCAATCTACGTGGTACAATCCATGTGTTGCAACTTATGTGCTACGAAGCAGTGCAGACCAACGCAAAGCAATACAACGCAACGCAATGCAACGCAATGCGAAGAAACGCAATACCAAGCAATGAGCAACAATGCAAAGCAATACAAAGCAATGCACGACTGTGCAAAGAAATACAATGCAATTGGTAATGCAATGCCGACAAAAGCAACGCAAAGCATTGCAATGCAATGCAATGCAATGCAATGCAAAGCAATGCAATGCAGTGCATAGCAATGCACAGCAACGCAACGCAATGCAATGAAAAGTAATGCATAGCAATGCAATGCAATGCAATGCAATGCAAAGCAAAGCAATGCAATGCAATGCAATGCAATGCAATGCAATGCAATGCAATGCAATGCAATGCAATGCACGCAAGCAATGCAAAGCATTGTAACGCATTACTCTGCAATACAATACATCGCAATGCAATGCGAAGCATTGCAAAGCAATGCAATGCAATGCAATGCAATGCAATGCAATGCAATGCAATGCAATGCAATGCAATGCAATGCAATGCGGTGCATAGCAATGCACAGCAACGCAACGCAATGCAATGAAAAGCAATGCATAGCAATGCAATGCAATGCAATGCAATGCAATGCAATGCAACGCAAGCAATGCAAAGCATTGTAACGCATTACTCTGCAAACCAATACATCGCAATGCAATGCGAAGCATTGCAAAGCAATGCAATGCAATGCAATGCAATGCAGTGCAGTGCAGTGCAGTGCAATGCAACGCAATGCAAAGCCATGCAAAGCAATGCAACGCGATGCGAATGCGATGCAGTGCGATTGCAATGCAGCACGATGCGATTGCACCGCAGTGCGACTGCCATACAACAGGGGGGGGGTGCAACGGGGCGGCGGCGACGGGCGAGAACCGGGTCCGCCGGGACCGCACACGGGCCTTCCACTTGGAAAGACCGGGGCGGCGACGGACGGGAGCCAGGGCCGCACACGAGCCCAGTTCCCTGGAAGGCAGGTAAAAAGCCCCGAGTGCAAGCATTGCTTTGGGGATTTTTTTTAATACGCGGAGAGGGCCGACCATCTTCTGGACAGAGTCAGGGGAGAGAGGAGAGTTGTATTCATCAAGTACTTCTCTGCTGGAGGGGAAGAAGGAGAGAGGA